CCCCGATCTGTGTGGGATGATTGACACGGGCATGAATACCGCAACACATGCATGGTGCGTTGGGAGCTGGCTCGAGACCTGCTTCCAGGCCTGCTGTGCAAGTTGGGCAGGTCACAGACCTCTCTGTGCCTCAGCGGCCTCACCTGTGAAATGGGGGTAATCCATCAGACGTGTTGTAACCTTTCAATTGGTTAATATTTGTGAGGCTCTTAGAGCAGCTCCCAGCTCACACTGAGCCCGATATTGTTTCGAAATAAAAATTTTTTTTAAATGATGTGTAGGCCACTTGAATGTCAAAGAAAGCATTAATTATAATTGATGTCTACACTGTGATAGCTGCTCAGTGAGAAACAGTATTAAGCAAGAGATCGTTTTTACATGTACAAAAGTGGCATCTGAAGGATAGACCAAGTATGCGTTTTGACATTCTGCCGTGTGGCTTAGCCCTGGGTCACACAGGATCAGAGAGACTTAGAATCATAAGGGCCGTTTTCCCTCACTGGTGGGAACTGCCCGCCTGTGCGTCTCAGGCAGAGCCTTCTGGCCTCTGTCATCTTCTGGCCAGTGGGATCGTGGCTTCATGTCCTTTAAAAGTTTCAAATGAGTTATTTTTAGGCCTTTCCATTTTCTTAGTAAAGTAGAAAGTGTGTAAGTTCAGGATGACAGCAACATGGGAGGCTCAGCCTAAGGGGCTGCCAGGGCGTATTTTGGTCGCATCGGTAGAAATTTGTGCCAAAGGGGGACGATGGGTCCACTGTCTTCCATTGGCACTTTGGGGGTCCCGTGTTCAGAAAACAGTTGCACGGTGGCAGAGAGCTGGAACCTTTAGCTTTGGGAAGAGTCTGGGACTAGGAAGGGGCTTGGCTGTGTACTGTGACAAGACGTCGCCTTGGTCCCTCAGAGTAAGGGCTCCACTCGCAGTGCAGCTCGAGTCAGGGGCCAGGCTTGTGCCTCGGAGGGCAGCAGGCCCCGCGCAGGCGCTCTAGCTGTCCAGAGCACGGACTCCCTGTCCACAGGGAGTGACCGTGGGCAGGGAGCGTGCAAACAGTCTACAGGATCAGGACTGAGTGGCTTCACCACTTCTGGGGCCTCTTTGAAATTCTGTGCTTCTCACTTGGTACAAATACTCGTAAAAAACAAACAAACAAACAAAAACGGTGTTCCGAATTAATTTAAGCAGAAAAAAAAAAGGAAAGGAAAGGAAAAAAACCACAGTTTTGGTCTGCAGAAGCTGTTTCCTGGGTCTCCTCGACGGCAGTCCAGCTGAAGCTCTGACGACAAGGATCCGCCTGTTCGCGGCCCTGGAAGCACGAGCCTGGCGCCTTCGCTCATCGGAGCGCTCGTGTGCATCGCGCTTTGCCTTTCGGGACGGGCTCTTTTTATTATTTATGAAAAGACAGTACACAGTTAGCTGGCTTCTAGTGTGTCGGCTCGCTCGCCTTTTGCGCAGGTCAGCACGTGTGAGTGCAGACGCGGACCCTGAAGTCAGAGCTGTGGGCATCACCTCCAGTCCCGGGCTTCCCGGGGACCACCCCTAGAGGAAGCGCTGTCTGTGGATGGCTGTTGTCGGGGAGAGGATGGAGGCCCCAGGTGGCCCAGTGTGGGGGGTCCAGCACCTGCATCCATCCGGTGCCTGCGTCCATCCCTCTCTGCCTACTTCTGGTGACTCGGCCAGAGCTCACAAACAAAGCCTGCCTGCGTCTGACCTGCAGACTTGTCTGGTTTGACCTCTGTTGCATGCAAACAGTGTATAATCTGTTGCCAGTACAATAAAACCTTGGATTGCAAGTAACTTGGTTTGCAAGTGTTACACAAGACGAGCAAACATTTCTAATATATCCTAACGTGGTAAACGAGCAACATCTTGCAATACAAGTAGTTTATTTCCGGGATGAATTATGCTTGAAAGCCAAGGTATTACTATATTTTAAAATGAGCCATCTCTTGCGTAATCAGGAAATCTGGTGACACAGACACAGAGACCCTGCACCCCCTGGATAGTCTCCATATCGTCCAGTCCAGGGGGCCGCTTCTGGGCATGTGTGGCCTGGTTGCATCCTAGGTGAAGGGCCCCACCCATTCATGAGGTCTGCCTCCTTCAGTTTTGATCACACATTCCTGGATCAACAGCGTTGATCTCCCCATCCCCGGAATTCGTTCGTAGGGTCTAGGGCATGCCCAGGGTACTGACTTAGCAAACAGAAGCCCTTGCTCTGGTCCACAAGCCGTATATTCTAAGCAACGTATTTGGAGTTGTGTGTGTCAGAGCAGTGCTTGCCTGTTCTCTCGCTGGGCGAAGGCAGAGCGCAGCCCCGCTGGGTCACTGCAGTCGTGGATTCTCACTGTCCCCTCGGGGGGACTGGGGTGGAGGCACCTGCCAGGACCCTGAAGTGACTGCCCCTCTCAGGTCTGTATCTGCTCTGGGAGGAGGTGCTGGGGGTTCAGGACCGGGGGCTGGAGGCCAGGCTGTGGAGGGGACCCTTGGAGGTTTGGCCGTGGCAAGCAGTGCCCACAAGTAGGGCTTAGTAGCCCAGCGCCGTGGCGGGAATGAAGAGGGCAGGCCGGCTGGGCCTGGCACCTCCATCAGCTGACAAGGGACCTCACGTCTGTGACTTAGGCTTGTCCGTCTGTAACAAGGAGCTGCAATGACACTGCAGCCCTGACCTGTTGCTTATGGGGTGCAGGGGAGAGTGCACATGACATGCTCAGAAACTCATCAAGCCACTTAAGGAAAGGTTGCCTTACCTGGTCCAGCGCTGCCACAGACGTGCAGCTGTGAGGTGGGGAGCAGGGAGGCCGAGCTCAGAGTCCACTGGCGTCTTTGGCGGGGAGGGGGTAGTAAACCTGGCGGGGCCAGGCTGGGGGCGGGGCCAGGCTGGAAGGCGGAAATCCGGCTCCTAGTACCAGGTATCCTTCCAGCCTCCACCCGCTCGCAGCGTTTGAATAGTACACCTAATGTGAGATTACCCTTCAGGGTGAACCATAGAATTTATTTAAGATTATGATTTGGACTTCCTCTCAACAACACATTACTATGTTTCCCGGCCCTGAAACAAATCCGCCTAGCTCAGTGCCGCGTGGACGTCATCTCTTCCCGGGCCTCCCTGTGGGACGGTTTCCCTCCGGCCTCCTGAGAATGGGGTGCCCTGGCCCTCGCTGGGGAGAGGAGAGGGGCGGGTGTAGGGCTGCTCACCACGGTGCCCACAGCTACCTGCCGCCTCGCGGGAGCCCCGGGCTGTGAGCTGAGGCCCAGGCTCACCTGAGGGAGGGGGGCAGAGCTGCAGGCCTCAGCGCTCGGCTCCCAGGGACCCCGCCCCCCCGTGTTGGAATTCCCTCTGACAGGGATGGTGGGAGACTGTGAGCCCGCAGCAGGACTGAGCTGTGCTGTTTCAACACCTTAGCAATCGCCCTGGGAGGGAAGCTGAATGATTCTAAGCCACTGCTTATTTATCATCAGGACACAAGCAGGGACCGCCGCGTCCCACTAGCTCTTACCAGTCCGCGCTGTGGAACTTGTCTCCTGGGTTTGTTTTCTGCGTTTTCCTCTGGGCCTGGCTCCCTCTGTTGGTCTCGGCACCATGTTTGGTACTTATTGGTTTAGAAAGAAGGGATGCTGTGTTGTGCCACGTTTGGGTGTTTTTCAATAAGAAGAACTTGCAAAGAAATAACCTTGCAAAGCTTCCACTGTGAGTCGCTGCAAACTTTGAAGGACTTTCTCCCCCAGAAGCAACGTTTAAGTGGTGGTCAGAGGCCCACGCTGGCTCATAACCCATTACGTGTGTGCAGTTTAGTATAAAAAAAAGTATCATCACAATATTGGTAATTAACTGGAACTTGAACTAAATGATTGCACAAAATGATAGCACTTGACTTTTTTCTCGTGTGGTGGTCACTGGGGATGGCAGAATTTGGAGGTGGGTGGAGGCCGGTAGCACTCCCGAGGGGACTCAAGGGCGCCCCTGCGTCTTCAAGGTGTCGAGTCGTATTTCAAGCTTACAGCTTGCCGTCTGCCTCGGTCTGGGTGAATTAACCAGCGTTTGTCTTACGCTTTCTCAGTCCTTGTTATGACGGTGCGAGTTTATAAATGGATGGTCAGGGGAAGAGCAAGGAACGCGGGGCTTCCGTTGCTCTTCTTTCACGTGGACGGGACTTAGGATGCCCCAGAGACGAAAGCTCAAGTTGGCATCGCCTGAGCTAGGAGCCCCCGTGGGGAGGAGTGCACGGTCACGGTTATGGGCCAGGCAGAGCCCAGCGCTGGCCGTCCGTTTTCTGAGCCCAGGAAAGCCTAGACGAGGCGGAAGGTTTGCTGGGAATTGGTAGTTAAACCAAGAATAAGTTCTCATCGGTCATCTCAGGAAGATTGGATTAAACATGCCTCAGTAGTGTGTTAGTTTCAAATTTTGAATGCTTTTCAAGAAGCCTTAATACGATTTCATTAAAAATGGATTAAAGTAAATTATACACAATTCATCTGTTAAATGCTGTTGCTGACTTGGCAAATGGGATTTCATTTTTAATAAATTGAAAAATCTGATATGAAAAACTGTAAAATAAAATCTCCCTGTTTGCAAATATCGTAAGGTAAGAATGCAGTGAATGTCTTATTTTTAGAAAAGGAAACTTAGGGTTCCTCTTCTGAAACACGATGCCTACAGGTGCTTCTGTGTGCGCTCGTAGCTCAGCATAAGGAAGGTTTGCGTATGTTTGCTGAACCGATGGCACATCTTTTACCCTTCGTTAATATCCCAAAGTTAAGTCCTACACACAACATCCGCACAGAAGTAAATTGGTTGAATATACGCGTATATGTTGCATATAAAAGAGAAGAGGAAACCACACTACCAAGCTGCAGATAAGTATGATTTCCATTTAAGATTGCAAGAATAAAATGAAGGTTTAAAAATTTGAAACTTACCAACGTGCCTGCTTTAAAAGAAAAGTTTACACAGGACTTTCTAATTTATATTCACTAACTTACGTTTGGTTCCTGTTTCCTGTAGGGCATGTTGCTGAAGCGAAGCGGCAAATCACTGAACAAAGAGTGGAAGAAGAAATACGTCACCCTGTGTGACAACGGCGTGCTGACCTATCATCCAAGCCTACACGTGAGTGTCGCCCCCTCGGAGCCATGAGCAGACCTCAGCGTAAACACTGTGCATGTGGGGCGGGGCCTGGGGGGGAGGGGTGGGAGCTGGCGGCAGCCAGGCCTCTGCTCTGAGTCCGAGTCGGACTGGGTCTCCTGCTCTGGCATGAGGGGAAGACTCCGCCCCTCACTCTCCTGGAGCCCATGCGTCTTTTCCTCCGCGTCTGTCTGTGGCCCTCTAATTAATTCTACAAATAACCAACAATAGAAGGCACAGGTGAAGTAAAATTTTCAATGAGAGTGAAAAAACAGGAGCAAGTAGTAACAGAGAAAGGAGGAAAGAAAGCCACCTATCTGAAAATATAGAACAGGGGACTCAAGTGCATTAGAGCCCAGGATTGGCTCTGAGCAGCCGAGAACAAAAGCAAGAAGTGAGATGCCCTTCGTGACTCGGCGTTTACTGGCCAATAAGAACACACACCAGTTCACAAGGCAAGAGAACGTTTTCTGTGTGCGTTCGTAGAATTTGTTATGTTGGTGATTTGTGTAAGACAGGTGAGAAGCCGAATTCATGTGATTACTGGGGGGACATGCAGATGGCCTACCCATGCTGCGTTCCTTTAGAAAGCCTTGATAAACTCCGAAAATGGGCTGTTACAGATTCACATCGGTGAACCTTGCACATTTAATTGTCCTGATGTAGACAAACGTGTAGATTAGACTACATAGTGTTAGCTGGTCAACTGATTATATCACGGTGTTAAGCTTTTAAATTTTAAAATACTTTTAAAATTTCATTGTTATTGACAACAAGTTAGAAATAGACGTATTGAAGAAAATGAAAATCACTCCCGAGAAACCACCCGGAGAATGTGACTGCCAGCATTTGGGGGGTGTGCTCCCAGCCTGTGTGTGCTGCCCGAGGTCCCCTTTCTTAGATAATGACAGGTCTATGCACCTTCCCATGTCAGCAAATAAGTACAGCTCTATGCCTCCATTTTTAATGGTTATATAACACTCCTCGTGCAGACATGCCCAAATTGATCTCACACCATCTCCAACAGGGACATTGGGCAAGTAAATTTCCTTTGAATTATTTTTACAAGTGACCCGAATCAGCGTCCCCTATTTGCTTCTCTGTGCCCTTGTCCCTTTGCCCAGGACGAGTTCCTAGCCATCAGCTCCCTGAGCTGGACACTCTCCGTGCCGTTAGGTCTCTCCGTGTGTGTTGGCGGACCCCCCTTGTGTGAGAGCAGTGGCCCCGCCTTCCAGAGCCATGTGGAAAACCGGGTGTTTCATTAGGCGTCTGACTTGTTTCTGATGTTGGCGGGAGTACTGCCGATGCTTCACCAGTAAGGAGACTTCTGAGGTACAAATTCTGTATCATGCTGGGGAAATTCCTGTGTGCTTGGTGTCGTTTGGGTTATTTGTGGGAGAGGCCAGGTTGCTTCTCCAGGTGGCCTCCACATCAGGGACGTAACACCAGCCCTGCCCCGTCCAGGTCTCCTGGCTTCCGCAGCCCCCTGCCCGTCAGAACACCAGGGCTGTGTTGGGTCTCACTGGCTCAGTTCTTCCTAAGACCCCGTCAGACAGCAAAGACCTGTGTGCTTTGGACAGGAAAGTGTCATCAAAATACTCTTCTTGCTAAGCCTACTGAGCAGTGAAAAATGAGACCTGCTTGGCGATGCATTTCAGGGCACCTGACACTTACCTGCTAGGACCAGGTCCAGTCACAGGGACATTTGCTGCTTCTTGGCGAGGGGAAAATGGCCACAACAGTGTGGAGCCAAAAATTCCATAGGGGGGCTAATGCCTGCTTACTCCTCATCCCCACCTTGGGATATATAATCCCAGTCAGTTCTTCAAAGCTTCTCCCACACAGGCTCCATCTTGAGATGTCCCTCCGAGTTTGTCAGTTCCATCCTTTTTTTTATTTTTATGTGCATGCATGGAATACAGAAAAGTAGCACCGTGGGGCTTCGTTACAGAATTATGCAGTCAGCAAGAGCCAGTGTCATTTTACAGGGCTGTTCATTTGGTGCCCGTCTCCTGGGAGCTGAGATTCCTCACACAGGCAGGTCCATGGTTCCCTCGGGGAGTGGCTGAACCCAGGAGTGCATGAGAATTCAAGGGCATGGGGCGATCATGACCTTTAATAGAATCCTTCACGGACTTTATTTTCACCTCTGAGCTTTGGGCGAAAGTTTGGCGGGACAGTGAGTTCCAGGTGGGTTCTCAGGCAGGTTCCAGGAGAGGGTCTGTTCAGTTCTGAGTTGTCGGGAAGCTGAGTTAGTCTGGCAGCCGGTTCACACTGGGAGGAGGCATTCAAGGAGTTGCCCGGGGCCGGAGTCCCGATTCGCCTTGCTAAGAAATTCGGGAGTCTGCCCATGTGTTGCAAATTCACGGGCCAGAATTCTGGGCCATGAAGAGCGGCCCAGGTGGTTTAGTCTGGAAAATCTCAAGTGACAGAACCCAGTGCTCTCTCTCCAGCACCGATGGCCCTGTGACAGCCACTTCCAGGTCATCACATTGTGGCAGGAAGACCACTAAGTGAGTCTGTTGGCCGTGTGCAATGCTGAGTAAATGGTTAAGTATTGGGGGATCCTGCCCAGGTGGGTGACTCTGAGTTTCATTACTGTTGGTCATCACCCTGTTACGGGCCATGGAGCAGGGGGTCTGCTCTTATGTCACATACCTGAAACCTTTCAGTAAAACAGCAAAAGCAAGACCCCTGCAGCTGCTCCAGTCTATAGTTTTGTTTCTCTAAAAACTGTCATCTGCAAGGCCTCTCAAAGGCCCTGACTGCTTCGCTTCCTTGGGGGAGAAACGTATGAGCGTCTCGTGGTTTTGTGATGCTTTGCTGGATCAGAGTCAGCCTGGGTGAAGGGCAGCCTGTTCTGCGGACTTAAATCAGCCTTAGGGAGCACCTTGATAGAAAAATGGAGGGGATAATGAGAAAGAGCTCGGACCTCGGGGCTTCACCGTTCAGTGTCACCCATTCATCTTCCGTGTCGAGACAGCGCCGTCGAGGGCACGGCTGAAATTCCTGCTGACAAAGGTGTGTGCGCTGGGATTCCTAAGAGGACCTGGAAGAGTCGGCTCGTGGCCGCACAGTCGAGCCAAGGCCTTCACGGGGCCCTGGCCAGGAAGGCTCTCCTGGGCTTCCTTGTGAGGACGGCTGGGGGCGGGAATGGCCCACCTGGCTGACCTGTGCTTCAGGTGCTCACGCTTCTGAAAGCCCCCTCTTGGACCTTTCTCCCGTTCTGTGCCTGAGCTGGAAACAGCTGTGGTGCCGTGTTTTCTCCCTGACGTTCCTTCCTACAGGACCGTCGTCCCTAGGCAGACCCACTCGGCGACACGGAGCCTTTGATTCTGCATGTGGTTGGCATTTGTTGTTTGCACGTCAGCAGAGTCAAACGTGGGCCGTAAGTCGTCATCAGAAGGCTGATTTCAGTAAGTTCCTCATTGCAGAATCAAACAAAATCCACTTCGTTGGTGGTACAAATACAACGTAAATAATGATTTCCTAAGTAGGGATTCGTTTCAAAAGAAATAACTCCAGGACAAAAGGGAGAGATGCCTGTGTTGTGACAGCTCTTGCCTGTACCCACCGCTGGTAATTGTCATTCACGGTACACACGATTGTCCCATAACATGCGGACATTGTACCTGAGGAATGAGGAGTCACTGAGGCCCTGTGACGAGTCAGTCCCTTCAGCTAGCTTCACATACCTGCTCAGGTCGACCTCACGTGTCTCGAAGTGGTGACGATGGAGTTAACTCGGAGAAACTCTTGGCTGGTTCCCCAGAACATTACAGAATCAGACCAGCTTAACTCTAGACAACTGGACAGACAAATTCACAGCCCAGGTTTCCAGGTGTAGAACCTTTGGAGTCCTGGAATGACGGTAACCCTGAGAAGACAGGCCTCCCTTCCTTCCCAGGAATGGTGTCAGATGTGTCACGTCTGTGCCACACTGCTGCAGTTAAGCGTATTCATTTCACGATGGACGATGACTCGACCTTGTTTCCCTCCACAGGCCTCAGTGCTGGAAGCTGGGTTCTGGCCTGTACGTTCCTTTCCAGCCTGGCCGCTAGAATTTCCAGGCGTCTGTCCAGGGGACCTTCACGCCCTTCCTGCCTGAGAGGCCCTCCCTGACTCTTAGGCAGACCTGCCGTGCTGGCACCTTCCATGTCTGTACTGCCCCATCTGGAGTAGCCTGATGGAGGGCTAGTGTGCACCTGACACACAGGTCAGTACTTGTGGGTCATACAGACTTGAGCTCCGGGACTGCCTGGGCTCGGAGCCTCGCCGGCGATGAACCCGGCCCTGCTTTAAAAATTCCGGTGAGGTTGAGCCCAAGAACACTAATCATGTTGCACAAGTTGACCTTCCTAAGTGTAGATGAGCTCACATCAGGGTGGGGTACGACACACATGTGACATTATGCAGATGCCACCAAATCTAAAAACACTGCTGGAATTTAGAAAAATCTTTTTAAATCTGTATATTAGGAAAATACAGAGCTGTCAAGGAGCAAAGGTCTGGAGCCCTCTGGTCACAAACGAACCTTTCTGTTCTGCCTGCCTGCCTCCTTCAGGCCAGTGGGAATGGGTTCGTAAACTGTGGAGCCACAGCCGGCGCTTCCGCAAGAGTTTCTAAACTGGCGGAAGAGTCAGCTCTGGGGAAGGCAAAAACCCCCGAAGTTAGTCCCCTATTATTGGGACAAAGGGGATAAACCTGGGTCGAGGTTGGGACAGAAGCTCCTGTCCTCGATCCTACAAGCTTCTCTGCTTTCCCAGAAACAACTACAGTCAATTATGCAAACGGGCCCCTGTCACGGGCAGACCTGGTCTTTCCAGGAAAGGCTTTGAGGCCACTATGGCGGACAGCTGATGTGAAAGCGTGTTGTCAGTGCACCCGTGTCGTCCCGTGAGAACGTAGCTCACATGTGCGCGCATACACACACAGCTCTGGGCACGACTGCATTGTAGGGAAGGAAATCAAGGTGTGCGCGATCG